CACCCCCAAATTTTGGGTTAAAACCACCGAATTTTGAGCTAAAACCACCAAATTTTGGGCTAAAACTCCCAAACTTTGAGCAAAAACCCCCAAGTTTTGTGACATTTCCTCAAATTTTGTGCTAAATCCCCAAATTTTTTGCTAGAACCCCCAAATTTTGTGCCATTACCCCAAATTTTGGGCTGAAACCCCCAAATTTTGATCCAAAACCCTGAAATTCAGTGCTAAAACCCCAAATTTTGGGCTAAAACCCCCAAACTTTGTGCCAAAACCCCCAAATTTTGATCCAAAACTGCCAAATTTTCAGCTAAAACCCTCAAATTTTCAGCTAAAACCCCAAAGTTTGCGCTACAAACCCCAAATTTTGAGCTAAAACCCCCAAATTTTGTGCTAAAACCCCCAAGCTTTGTGCTGAACCCCCAAATTTTGTGCCATTACCCCAAATATTGGGCTAAAACCCTGAAATTCTGTGCTGAAACCCCCAAACTTTGTGCTACAAACCCCAAATTTTGGGCCAAAGCCCCCGAATTTTTTGCCGAAACCCCCGAATTTCTGACTTTTCTCTCTCTCTCGCTCCCCTCCCCCAGCCCCCGCCGCCCCCTCCCCCGGCCCCGCGCCGCCCTCCCCCCACGCCCCGGAGCTGCGGCTGATCCTGGAGGAGCTGCGGCAGCTGCGGCAGCGGCAGCTCCTGCAGATGCAGCTGACGCAGGAGATCTGCCGCCAGCTGCTCCTGCTGGGGGCGCTGGAGGCGCCGCCGAGGGCGCCCCAAAAAACGGCGCCGAAAACGGCCCAGAAACCGCCGCAAAAACCGCCGCAAAAACCGGCCAATCAGAGGAGGCCGCGCCCCACGCCCCGCCCCCGCCTGCTGCTGCTCCCCGCCCCCTTCGGCAAAGCCGCGGCCTTGGCGTCGACCTTGGGATCGTCGTCGTTGAGGTCGACGTTGGGGTCGGCGTCGGCGTCGTTGGGGCCGATTTTGGGTTCGTCGTCGTCGTTGGGGCCGATCTTGGGTTCGTCGTCTTCGTTGGGGCCGATCTTGGGTTCTTCGTCGCCGTCGAGGTCAACGTTGGGTTCCTCGCCGTCGTTGGGTCCAATCTTGGGGTCCTCGTTGGGTTCTTCGCAATCATTGAGTCCAATCTTGGGTTCGTCGTCGTCGTCGGGGCCGATTTCGGGTTCTTCGTCTTCAAAGAGGCCAACGGGGCCAGCGTTGGACTCGACGTTGGGTTTGACGCCGTTGCCGGGGTCGGCGTTGGGTTCTTCGTCGTCGTTGGGGCCGATTTTGGGTTCTTCATCATCAATGGGGCCAATGTTGGGTTCTTCGTCTTCAGCGAAGCTGGCGGGGTCAACGTTGGAATCAGCGTTGGCTTCTTCGTCATCATTGGGGCCAACGTTGGGTTCTTCGTCTTCAAAGAGGTCAACGGAGCCAACGTTGGGTTCAGTGCCATCACTGGGGTCAATGTTGGGGCCAGCATTGGGTCCAACGCCAACGTTGGGGCCGGCATTGGGTTCTTCGCCATCGTTGGGCCCAACGTTGGGGTCGCCACCGTTGGCGAAGTCAGCGGCGTCAACGTTGGGTTCCTCAACATCGGCAAGGTCAGCGTTGGGGTCTTCGTCATCCACGGGCCCGTCCTTGGGCCCGGCGTTGGGTTCTCCATCAGCGTTGGCGGCAGCGCCATCAGTGAAGTCACCGGTGGGGCCGGCGTTGGGGTCGGCGTTGGGTTCAGTGCCATCAGTGGGGTCGACGTTGGGTTCGTCATCGTCGTTGGGTTCTTCCGCATCGTCGGGCCCAGTGTTGAGCTCCTCATCGACGTCGGGCCCGACGGCATCGCTGGGCCCGAGGTTGGGTCCAACGCCGTCACTGGGGCCTTCGTCAGCGTTGGGTTCTTCATCAGCGCTGGCTCCTTCATCAACGTTGGGTTCTTCATCTGCGCTGGGCCCAACGTTGAGTCCAAAGCCATCGTTGGGTCCAACGTTGGGTTCTTCTTCAGCCGTGGGTTCTTCATCTCCGTTGGCCGCGCCGTTGGGTTCCTCGTTGGGTTCCTCATCAACGTTGGGTTCTTCTTCAACACTGACCCCACCGTTGGGTTCCTCGTTGGGTTCCTCATCAACGTTGGCCCCACCGTTGGGTTCCTCGTTGGGTTCCTCATCAACGTTGGGCCCAACCTGGGGTTCTTCGTCGCCATTGGGTTCTTCGTCGCTGTTGGGTTCCTCTCCGCCGTTGGGCGTCTGCCCGAAGCCGTCGGGCGTCGCCGGCGCGCGGCGTCCCCACCATCGGGCGGCCGAGCGGCCCCGGCACCGCGGCGACCTCCGGGCGCACCCGCGGCGCCGGCGTGGCCCCCAGGTGGGACGGGGGTCAGTGGGTCAACGGTTGGGGTCAGTGGGTCAACGGTTGGGGTCAGTGGGTCAACGTTGGGGTCAGTGGGTCAACGTTGGGGGTTGATGGTCAAGGTTGGGGTCAATGGAGGTCAGTGGGTCAAGGTTTGGGGTCAGTGGGTCGATGTTGGTGTCAATGGAGGTCAATGGGTCAAGGTCGGGGTCATCGGTCACTCTGATTGGTCATTTGGTCAGCCCGGCCCTCATTGGTCGCTCTTGTCATCCACAGGTCGCCCCGGAAGTGACCACGCCCCCTCCAGCTGCGGCCACGCCCCCTCTGCCAAACCCCGCCCCTCAAGACCTCCAACCGAACCCCGCCCGCTCTCCAAGCCACGCCCCCTTCCCCAAGCGCCGCCTCCTGTGCCCCGCCCACGAGGAGGTGGCCACGCCCACTTCAGGCTCCTCCCCCTCCGTGCATGGCTCCGCCCCCTCAGAGGCCTCCAGGCTGCAGGAGTTGGGGGAAAAGTTGGAATTCCCAGCCCCAAATTTGGGGGGAAATTCCTCGACTTTGGGGGGAAATTCAAACTTGGAGGAAAATTCCTCAAACTCGGGTGGAAATTCTCAGAGTTTGGGTGGGAATTCCACAGTTTTGGGTGGGAATTCTGAAAATTTTGGGGAAGTTTCCCCAAATTTGGGTGGGAATTATCAGAATTTGGACGGAAATATCTTAATTTTGAGTGAAAATTCCACAGTTTTGGGTGGGAATTCTCAAAACTTGGGTGAGAGTTCTGCAAATTTGGGTGCGACTTCTGTGATTTTGGGTGGAAATTCCGCAATTTTGGACAGGAATTCTCCAATTTCGTGTGAAAATCCCTCAGCAGATTTGGGTAAAAATTCCTCAAATTTGGGTGAAAACTCCTCTATTTCAGGCAGGAGTTCCCCAATTTTGAGTGAAAATTCCACAGTTTTGGGTGAGAATTCCTCAGTTTTAGGTGGTAATTCCACAAGTTTTGGTGGAAATCCCTCAGTTTTGAGTGAAAATTCCACAATTTTGGGCGGGAATGCCTCAGATTTGGGCCTGAGTTCTGCAATTTTGGGTGGAAATTCTCCATTTTTAGGTGCTGACAATGGAGACCCTGAAACTCCCGGGGAGTAATTTGGAGGGGGACTCCAAAATTCATCTCAGGAGCCCCAAAATTCTCCGAAAATTCCCCTATAAAGCTGATTAAAACCCTTTGCTGATTCTCATGTGTGTGATTTGAGGGTGAGGGGGAAAAACGGGAGAAGCGGGACCCCAAAAATCGAAAGAATTCGCCCCAAAATCCGCCCCTTGAAAATGGCGGCGGCCTCAACAAAGATGGCGGCGCTGTCAACAAAGATGGCGGCGCCCTCACTTGGGCGTGGCCACCGCGCAAAATGGCGGCGGTTGCTGTGGAAACGCGCCATGAGTCAAAATGGCGGCTGTTGCCATGGGAACACCGCGATGCCAGTACTCAAAATGGCGGCTGGGGCGTGCCCATAGAGGGGCGTGGCCAGGCCGGAAAATGGCGCGCGTTGCTGTGGCAACGGAAAGCGGGAAGTGTCTGGGTTCAACATGGCGGCGGTTGCCATGGCAACGTTCCCGTACTCAAAATGGCGGCGAAGGCGCGGCCAACCCGGAAAATGGCGTGCGTTGCTGTGGCAACGCAAAGCAGGAAGTGCCCAGGTTCAAAATGGCTGCGGTTGCCATGGGAACATAGGTGTGCCCGGGTTCAAAATGGCTGCGGCGCTCGCCGCTGCGGCCTCAACGCGGTTTAAAAACCTCGGGTCGCGTTTGGAATGAAAAGGGGGGAGGGGCGCGGTGTCCGTGGGAGCGGCACTGCGGGAATTTTCCGGTTTTAAAGCCGCCGGTTTCCATGGAAATCGTGTTTGTGAGGGACGGGAGCGGGGGGGGGGGCGAAGGTTCTGCCAGCTCTCAAAATGGCGGCGGTTCCTATGGAAACAACGCGGTGCCCGAACTCAAAATGGCGGCGGTTACCACGGAAACAAGGAGCTGCCAGTGCTCAAAATGGCGGCGGGGGCGTGCCCATAAAGGGGCGTGGCCAGCGCGGAAATTGGCGCGCGTTGCTGTGGCAACAAAAAGCAGGAAGTGCCCGCCCTTAAAATGGCGGCGGTTTCCATGGAAACAAAGGGGAATTGCCCGGGTTAAAAATGGCGGCGGCTACCATGGAAACAACGTGGTGCCAGTACACAAAATGGCGGCGCTCGTCAATGCGCCCTCACCGAGCCTCAAAATGCCGCAGGTCGCGTTTAGAATAAATCGCAAGGAGGGGCGCGGTGTCTGTAGGAACGGCACTGCGGGAATTTTCCGGTTTTAAAGACGGAAAATTAAAGCCATGGAGATCGTGTTTGTGAGGGACGGGGGTGGTTCTGCCAGCTCTCAAAATGGCGGTGGTTCCCACGGAAACAACGAGCTGCCACTTCTCAAAATGGCGGTGGCCTTTAATAAAATAAATGAGGGTGCCCACACTCAAAATGGCGGTGGTTCCCACGGAAGTTATGGTTGGTGCCAGCACTCAAAATGGCGGCGGTCCATATTAGAATAAATGCATTTGCCCACACTCAAAATGGCGGCGGCGGCGGCTTCCGGTCGCCTCAGACCGCTTCCGCTTCCGGCGTTGTGAGGCGGGAGACGGAGCGGGAGCGGGAGGATCGCGGCCCCTCGGTCTCTGTCGCGACAGGGCCGCGACAGGGTCGCGACCGGGGCCATGTCGGACACGTGGAGCTCGATCCAGGCGCACAAGAAGCAGCTGGACTCGCTCCGGGAGCGGCTGCAGCGGCGCAGGAAGCAGGACCCGCTCGGGGCCGCCGGTGAGGGCCCGGGGCCCTGAGGGGCTGAGAGGAATTAAAGGGTTAATTAAGGGGAAAAGGGTTAATTAAGGGGTTAATAAGGGGGCAAGTGTTAATTAGGGGGGTAATGAGGGGCTAAGGGTTGATTAAGGGGGCTAATGAGAGGTCTGGGCAGAATTAAATGGGTTAATGAAGGAGACAAGGGGTAATTAAAGGGATAAATGAGGGGAGAAGGGGAAATTAAGGGTTAAATAGAGGTAAGGGTAATAAGGGTTAATTAAGGGTTAAGAGGGGTAATTAGGGGGTTAATCGGGGGGAAAGGAGTTAATGAAGCGTGAGGGGTCAATTGGGGGGGTTAATGAGGGGCTAAGGGTTAATTGGGGGGATAAATGAGGGGTGAAGGGGGTAATTAATGAGACGTTTAATTAAGAATGGAGGTCTAATCAATAATGGTCAATTAAGAACGGGGGAGTAATTAACAATAGGAGTTAGTCAATGATAGCAGTTAATGAAGAGTAGGGATTAATTAAGAATAGGGGTTAATTATTAGCACGAGTTAATTAAGAATAGGGGTTAATTAAGAACAGAGAGGTAATTAAGAATAGGGATTAATTAAATATAAGGGTTTATTATGATTATGGTTAATTAAGAGCTAGGCGTAATTAGGAAATGCTAATTAAGATTAATTAAGGTTACTTAAGACTATTTAAGGTTAACTGACATGTTAATTAAGATGATTTCTCCACCCCCACAGACCCCCGCCATGACCTCAGCCTGGCCACGCCCCCCCGCACCTCCAGCCCCGCCCCCTCCGGCCCTGACGGGGGCGTGTCCTCCCTCGGCTCCGCCCCCGGCTCCGCCCCCTCCCCTCCGGTGGGCGGGGCCGAGGGGGTCCCGGGGGAGCCCCCGGAGCCGGACCCGGCCCTGGAGCGGCGACTGCTCCTGCACCTGTCGGACCTGGCCACGCCCCTGCCCACCGACGCCAGCGCCATCCGCAGCGCCATCGCCGGGGTACGCACCTGGGACAGGTGGGGACACACCTGGGGATGGGGGGGATACACCTGGGACAGGTGGGGACACACCTGGGGATGGGGGGGATACACCTGGGACAGGTGGGGACACAACTGGGGAGTGGGGGGATACACCTGGGCACACCTGGGACAGGTGGGGACACACCTGGGGATGGGGGGGGATACACCTGGGCGCACCTGGGACAGGTGGGGACACACCTGGGGATGGGGGGGCACACCTGGGGACACACCTGGGACAGGTGGGGACACACCTGGGGATGGGGGGCACACCTGGGCACACCTGGGACAGGTGGGGACACACCTGGGGATAGGGGGGGGGATACACCTGGGACAGGTGGGGACACACCTGGGGATGGGGGGCACACCTGGGACAGGTGGGGACACACCTGGGGATGGGGGGGATACACCTGGGACAGGTGGGGACACACCTGGGGACACACCTGGGCACACCTGGGACAGGTGGGGACACACCTGGGGATGGGGGGGATACACCTGGGACAGGTGGGGACACACCTGGGGACACACCTGGGCACACCTGGGACAGGTGGGGACACACCTGGGGATGGGGGGGGATACACCTGGGACAGGCGGGGACACACCTGGGCACACCTGGGACAGGCGGGGACACACCTGGGGACACACCTGGGCACACCTGGGTTATGGGGGATATACCTGGGGATATACCTGGGCACACCTGGGGTTCCTCCTGCACCTGTCGGACCTGGCCACGCCCCTGCCCACCGACGCCAGCGCCATCCGCAGCGCCATCGCCGGGGTACGCACCTGGGACAGGTGGGGACACACCTGGGGATGGGGGGGATACACCTGGGTGCACCTGGGATAGGTGGGGACACACCTGGGCACACCTGGGTTATGGGGGATACACCTGGGCACACCTGGGCACACCTGGGACAGGTGGGGACACACCTGGGCACACCTGGGCACACCTGGGCACACCTGGGACAGGTGGGGACACACCTGGGGACACACCTGGGTACACCTGGGACAGGGGGGGCACACACCTGGGCACACCTGGGACAGGGGGGGCACACCTGGGGACACACCTGGGACAGGTGGGGACACACCTGGGGATGGGGGGCACACCTGGGCACACCTGGGATAGGTGGGGACACACCTGGGCACACTTGGGATAGGTGGGGACACACCTGGGGACACACCTGGGGACACACCTGGGCACACCTGGGATAGGTGGGGACACACTTGAGTATGGGGAGATACACCTGGGACTGAGCTGCCCCCAGGTGTGCCCGCAGGTGTCTCTAGGTGCCCTCCAGGTGCCCCCAGGTGTATCCAGGTACCCCCCAGGTGTTCCCCAGGTACCCCCAGGTATGCCTGGGTGCATCCAGGTGTTCTCCAGGTGCCCCCAGGTGTATCCACGTGCCCCTAGATGCATCCAGGCACCCTCCAGACACCCCTGAGGTGTTCCCCAGGTACCCCCAGGTGTCCCTAAGATGCCCCCAACTACCCCCCAGGTGCGCCCAGGTACCCCAAGGTGTACTCAGGTGTACCCAGACACCCTCCATGTGTACCCAGGTGTTTCCCAGGTGTCCCTAAGATGCCCCCAACTACCCCCCAGGTGCGCCCAGGTACCCCAAGGTGTACCCCAGGTGTACCCAGACACCCTCCAGGTGTACCCAGGTGTTCCCCAGGTGTCCCTAAGATGCCCCCAACTACCCCCCAGCTGCCCCCAGGTACCCCAAGGTGTATCCAGGTGTACCCAGGTGTTCCCCAGGTACCCCCAGGCTCCCCCCAGATGCCCCCAACTACCCCCCAGGTACCCCAAGGTGTATCCAGGTGTACCCAGACACCCTCCAGGTGTACCCAGGTGTTCCCCAGGTACCCCCAGGCTCCCCCCAGATGCCCCCAACTACCCCCCAGGTACCCCAAGGTGTATCCAGGTGTACCCAGACACCCTCCAGGTGTACCCAGGTGTTCCCCAGGTGCCCCAGGCTCCCCCCAGGTGTGCTCCAGCTGCCCCAGGGCCCCCCAGGTGCCCCCCAGGTGTGTCCCCGCCCTCACCCGCCCCCGCCTGCGCCGCAGGGCGACGCCCAGGTGACGCTGCGCGCCGTCGAGAGCCTGCTGCACAAGTTCGCGGCGCAGGAGCTGATCGAGGTGCGCCGGGGGCTGCTCCACGACGGCCCCGCCCTCGTCACCTGCGCCGACCACTCCAAGCTGGCCGCCATGGCCGCCGCCAGCCGCGCCCTCGTTGGCCGGGCGGCGCCGGGGGGCGGAGCCTGCGGGCGGCGCAGGGGGAGGGGGCCGGGGAGGGGAAGGAGGCCAAGAGGTGCCGGAGGGCGGCGGCGGCATCGGACGTGGATTTGGAGATCGAGAGTTTGCTGAGCCAGCAGTCCACCAAGGAGCAGCAGAGTAAGAAGGTGAGGGTGGGGTTTTGGGGGGTGGGCGGGGCTTGGGAGGGGTGGGGATTCGAGATGGCGGAGATTCAAAACGGCGGCGTTTAAAAATGGCGCTTTAGGGCGTCGGCTTTTCAAGATGGCGGGTTTTCAAAATGGAGGGGTTTTGAAATGGTGCTTAAAGGCATCAGTGTTTCAAGATGGCGGGTTTCAAAATGGAGTTTCAAGACAGTGGAGTTTCAACGTGGCGGGGGTTCAAATGGCGGAGTTTTAAGATGGCGGCATTTTGTAGTGGTGGGGTTTTAAGATAGTGGAATTTCAAGACGGTGGGGTTTCAAGATGGCGGGGTTTCGAAGCGGCAGAGTTTGGTTGGGATGTCAAGATGGCGGTATTTTAAATATGGCAGGGCTTCAAGATAGTGGGTTTCAAAATGGTGGGGTTTCAAGATGGTGGAATTTCAAGATGGCGGGGTTTCCAAATGGCATTGTTTCAAAGTGGTGGGGTTTCAAAATGGCGGGGCTTTAAGATGGTGGCATTTCAAAATGGCGTCATTTCGAGATGGCGTCATTTCAAGATGGCGGCATTTCAAGATGGAAGGGTTTTAACATGGCAGGGTTTCAAAATGGCGGAGCCTTAAAATGGCGTCTTTAAGGCATCGACATTTCAAGATGGTGTGGTTTCAAGATGGCGGCACTTTCGCATGGTGGGGTTTCAAGATGGCGGGTCTCAAAATGGCGGGGCTTTAAGATGGCGGCAACGGTGGGTAGGATCTAAAGATGGTGGGTGGAGCCTGGAGATAATGGGTGGGGTTTAAGGGTGGTGGGTGGAGCCTAAAGATGGTGGGTGGGGTTTAAGCATGGTAGGTGTGTCCTGATGATTGTGGGGCGGAGTCTAGCAATGGTGGGTGGAGCTTAGTAATGGTGGTGGGGTTTAAGGGAGGTGGGCGCAGCCTGGAGATAATGGGTGGAGTTTAAGGGTGGTGGGTGGAGCCTGTAGATGGTGGGTGGGGTTTAAGGCTGGTAGGCGGAGTCTGTAAATGGTGAGTGGGGTGTAATGGAGATGGGTGGAGTCTGGAGTTGGTAGGCGAAGCCTAAAAATGGTGGGTGGAGTCTAGAGATGTGGGTGGGGCTTAAGGCTAGTGGGTGGAGCCTAAGAATGGTAGGTGGAGCCTAGAGATGATGGGTGGAGTCAAGATGGGTGGAACCTAGAGATGGTGGGTGGAGTCTAGAAATGGTAGGTGGAGTCTATAGATGGTGGGTGGGGTTTAAGGCTAGTGGGTGGAGCCTAAGGCTGGTGGGCGGAGTCTAGAGATGATGAGTGATGTCTAGAGGTTGTGAGTGTGGTTTAATGGGGGTGGGTGGAGCCTAGAGATAATGGGTGGGATTTCAAGGCTGGTGGGTGGAGCCTAACCAAATGTGGGCGGGGTTTAACGAGGTGGGCGTGGCCTCGCTGCCCACCAGGTGAGCCAGGAGATCCTGGAGCTGCTGAACACCACGACGGCCAAGGAGCAGTCCATCGTGGAGAAGTTCCGCTCGCGGGGCCGCGCCCAGGTGCAGGAGTTCTGCGACCACGGCACCAAGGAGGAGTGCGTCAAGGCCTCGGGCGGGGACAGGCCCTGCCGCAGGCTCCACTTCCGGTCGGTGTAATTCAGATTTTGGGGTGAATGTCTGGGGTTTTTGGGGCATTTAATTCAAGTTTATTTGGGATTTGTTTGGGGTTTTGGGGAGGAGTGCGTCAAGGCCTCGGGCGGGGACAGGCCCTGCCTCAGGTTCCACTTCCGGTCAGTATAATTCAGATTTTGGGGTGAATATCTGGGGTTTTGGGTGAATGTCTGGGGTTTTTGGGGCATTTAATTCAAGTTTATTTGGGATTTATTTGGGGTTTTGGGGAGGAGTGCGTCAAGGCCTCGGGCAGCGACAGGCCCTGCCGCAGGCTCCACTTCCGGTCAGTCTGGGGGGTTTTGGGGTGAATATCTGGGGTTTTGGGGCATTTAATTCAAGTTTATTTGGGATTTATTTGGGGTTTTGGGGAGGAGTGCGTCAAGGCCTCAGGCCTCAGGCCTGCACTACCGGTCAATCTGGGAGCATTTAATTCAGGTTTTGCGGGGTTTAATTCAGGTTTTGGGGTTTAATTGGGATTTTGGGGTGATTATCTGGGATTTTGGGGCTTTTAGTTGAGGTTTTGAGAGGTTTAATTCAGGTTTTGAGGTGATTATTTGGGGTTTTGGGGAGAAGTGCGTCAAGGCCTCAGGCCTGCACTTCTGATCAACCTGGGAGCATTTAATTCAGATTTTGGGGGGTTTAATTCAGGTTTTGGGGTTTAATTCAAATTATCTGGAGGTTTGGGGGCTTTTATTTGTGGTTTTGAGGGGTTTAATTCGGGTTTTGGGGTGTTTATTTGGGGTTCTGGGGAGGAGTGTGTCAAGGCCTCAGGCCCCAGGCCTGCACTTCTGGTTAGTCTGGGAGGATTAATTCAGGTTTTGGGGTGATTATATGCAGGTTTATGTGTTTATTTGGGGTTTTGGGGTGAATATCTGGGTTTCAGGGCATTTTAATTCAGGTTTATTTGGGGTTCTGGGGAGGAGCCCGTCAAGGCCTCAGGCCCCCGGAAGTGCTGCGTCAAGGCCTCAGGCCACAGGCCTGTACTTCCGGTTAGTCTGGGAGGGTTTAATTCAGGTTTAGGGGTGATTATTTGAGGGTTTATGTGTTTATTTGGGGTTTTGGGGTGATCACGTGGAGTTTTGGGGAGTTTATTGAGGTTTTGGGGAGTTTATTTGGGGTTTTGGGGAGTTTATTTGGGGTTTGTGGGAGGAGCGCGTCAAGGCCTCACAGGTGGAGCGCGGCCTTGCCGCGGGCGCCGCGCTCCCGGGCAGCGTAATTCAGGTTTTGGGACGATCGTCTGGGATTTTCCCAAAATTTCGGTTTTGGGCCCCAAATATTGCCCCCGGCAGCCGCATCATCAACAAGCACACGGACGAGTCGCTGGGCGACTGCTCCTTCCTCAACACCTGCTTCCACATGGACACCTGCAAGTACGTGCACTACGAGATCGACGCCTGCGCGGGCCACGCCCCCCCGCAGCCCCGCCCACCCGCGGCCCCGCCCCCGCTCCCCGCCCCCCGGCCCCGCCCGCCCGCGGGGCCCGCGCCCGACGCCGGCGCCGACCGACTCTTCCCGCCGCAGGTAACTGAAATTTAAACGATTTCAACTTTTTAGGGGTTCTTTGGGACGTTTTTGAATTTTTTGTGGTTTTTTGGAGGTATTTTAGCATAATTGCTTATTAATTTATGATTAAGTCAGCGGTAATTTTAAAATTACATTAGTACTTTTATTTTTCTTATTATTTGTTTTTATTACAGTAATGCTGTAATAATATTTTTATTAAAACCCAATAATTGGAATAATTAATTATTATTATAATGGAGTTTTTATTACATCAGTATTTTTATTGCATTGTTTGCTCAATGATTTATTTTTTTTTATTGCATTAATATTAGTTTCTGTTATGTTTATTTAGATTTAGATTTAGATTTTGTTCAAAATTATACTTACATTTTATTTATATTTATTATTAGGATATTGGGGCGTTGCATTATTACATTAAGGTATTATCTTAAAAATACCTTTGTATTACATTAATAGGACATTGTGTTATTACATTATTATATTATTATATTATTATAGTTAAACTCTTTTATTATTGTATTATTATGTTTGGTTTTATATTTATTCAGTTTTTACTATGTTAACAGTTTTAAATTTTAACATACTTACATTTATTTATAGTTTCTCATTAAATCAATATCCTCATTTTATTATTTTCTTCTATGTTTTAATTTATATTTACTGTTTCTATTACTTTAATATTTTTGATTTATTTATATTGACCTAATAAAGACTTTACAGTACATTAAAATTTTTGTGAAATTAATTAATTGCTTCCTAAGAATTCCTCGACTTTTTCTGTGGCTCTGTTGCCATTTCTGACTCAATTTCCCGTGGTTTTTCCCATTTTTTTGCCATTTTTAGCATTTTTTCCTATTTTTCCCGTTTTTTCCCTATTTTTTTCCCATTTTTTTCCCGTTTTTTCACATTTTCCTCTATTTTCACCGTTTTTTCGCGTTTTCTCCCCGTTTCTGCAGCGGATCTGCTGCGACATCCCGCTACCTGGACGTGTCCACCCTGAGGCCCCAATTTCCCCTGTGTTTTTCACTGTTTTTGACAATTTTTTTGCCGTTTT